ACTTTGTTTCTGTTCCTGATTTACAGCATCCGCAGTTCTTTTGGTTTTTTCTCCAAAATACTTCATTGGCTCTAAAGCACTTTCAATGTACAATCCAACGTTATTTCCACAATTTTTTTCTTTTTAAGGAAAACGAGTCACAGGATACTGGTACAGTAAGCCAGTATTTATGATTCATATTCAGTTGTCCTTAAGAAGATGGTGGTGACTAACCTTCCAAAACTACAATAATCGTTTGGATTATAGTTTCTGGAAGCATATTTGGTAAATTGGGGTTTACTAGGTCATTTCAGGGGATAAGGTTGTGACTCTAGAGTCAGACATAGGTCAGACCAAATAAGTATGAAAGATTGAGAAGTTTCTTTTGCTAAAGTACAGGTGTTTTTTTGGCAACATTTTAATAGTTTCATGGTTGCCATAGCAAACGATCTCTTTTAGTGCAGATTAATTCAAATTTTCCCACTGCCAAATGGTGGCATTTGAATTTATTAGCCCAGGCTTCTGAGTGTTAGCTTATAATATACTACAGTCACTCTGCTACCAAATCTGAAAAACAAACTTAAATGTTACAGAACAGGAAAACAGAGTGGATTTGCTGATGAGCAAAGTCCTGGGGAGATGGGGCAAGCACAAAAGGGACTATAGAAGAAGTGGCACCTGGTGTTCTGAAATTGGAAGTTTGGGTCTCATTCGCCTGTGTCTCTTTCCTCTGATAAGACTGCTAGACCCTTTTCACAACATCTGCAAACTGGGACCAAACCTTCTCTCCTGTCCCCTCTACTACCAGATCCAAGGACTCAATCTTCACACTTTCCCTCAAACAATCCTGAATGTTTTTCCAAGTGCTGATAAAGCATTAGGTAATGACATGCCTCTCTAATTCCCCCAGATTCTCCATCACATCAGATTCTAGGATCTACCACAGCTTTTCGGGACCATCAGACTTTCTGAATATTCTACTTGAATTTCAAACAAAGTATGGCAAAACTATAAAATTTTACACCAATACAGTTCCCACTTCTTATAGAACTCAAGACTGCGCTGAATAAATAATGTTTGTTTCAATGATCAATCAATGAGGAAACAACTGTGGACCTGCTGCTGTATTCCATCAAAAATTAACTTCAAAAGGTTCAGAAAAACTCCCTTTGACACCGAACAGAAAAATCTGTCCTAGAGTGCTGGCACATTGGTTCACAAAAAATGATTTGCCACACACTGGATAATTTAAGTGGGGAGATTGGGCATTCCAACAGGAAAGGATGAAAATGAAAGTTATGAAGTTATTCCTGAGCCTACTCTCTTTCAACAGCTGATTCGACAGGGTGTCTTGGCTGACCTCTAGAGAACAAAGGCATCTGTACCCACTCTATGCATGGATCTGATAAGTAGATTTATGTTCTACAGCTACAGAAACGTTTTTCTCACATCAATTTTTAGACATACAGCCATTTCAATCAGTGACAAGTTATATATTTATTAATGTAATCTTGAGCCTCCAATGTAATTGATACGTTTATTAGTGTCAAAGAGAGAAACTAAACATTAGAATGAGCAGAAAAATATAACTAGAATGATCTGAAAGAACACAGTTGTTTACCAAAATTGGCAAGAGAACAGTGTTTACTGAAATCACTAAGACGACAGTGCCTATTAAAATCATCAAGAGTACAGCATTAACAATAGTAGTTTTGACTTACCATGTAACTGGAGCTCAGACTCAGTCAGCAAAATGTATTGGACTCAGCAAGCCCAAGGTTGATAATGCAGGCACCACAGGAACTTGCTCACAATGTTTCCTCCCTTTAAAAATACAGTCTTCTCTTCCCTTATGTCGTAATACTACAAACCTCTTACCCAATGGAAAACATTACAGTGTGATGATGAAATGAAACTGAAACTGACAGACATCAGAAATAGGAAACAACTTGAGAAAAAACCTGAAATAAAGATATTAAAAGAAACACAATACAATTCTGAAAACACTTCTGAAACAATTTACATTCTAATTCTAAGTTTAATTGCATTCTGTGGACAGACACTGGTATGAATTTTTCAAGATATACAGTTAAGTAGCTTATTCAGGTTGCAGATTATCACAATTGTAATGATAAACAAGGTTGTTTGACAAGATGGTAATGATCCACTGCCTTGAATAAACTGCTTCTAGGCGGTAGTTAAAAGTCTACCACATCACACATTGGCTACAGACAACAGATTTCCTTTCCTGAAGAATTGAAGTGAATCAGATTGTCATAAAACAAAATCCACTACTTTCAGTACTACTGCAACTAGCTTTTTATTCCACTATCATTCAATTAATTGAATTTAAAATCCCCGGTGATCAAGTTTAAACTAATTTCTCCACGTCATTAGTGCATGGCTCTGAATAAGTTCATTACTGCTACCGTTCTGCGACTGTCCTCTCAGCTAATTTCGATACATAAACCTTTTTGCACCCTAAACCCGAGCTGATCCAAAAGCACAGCCCGTCTCCCATCTGGCACTAAATCCCATTCAATCATCATCCTGGTACAATCACTGACTTAAACAGGCTGCCAGTGCAGTAATGCCTCAACTTTAAAATTCTCATCCTGATATCAAAATCCCTCCATGATTTTGTCCCTCGCTTTCTTTGCAATCTCAATCCACCCTAAAACATCGAGTAATTAAGCCTTTGGTGGTTGAGATTCTAGGCTCTGGAATTCCATTGCAATTAAGCTAATTTCTCATTAGCGCACAACTCTGAATTATTGCCACCATTCTGCAACTGTTCTCTCAGCTTATTTCAATACATAATTTAATAATTGTGTCAGTGGTTAAATAGGTTGGTACTAAAGGGGTCTTGTGGCTGTGGTACTGTCCCCACCTCTGCACCAGAGGGTCCAGGTTGGGTTCCACCTGTCCCATTATTTTGGCAATGTACATATACTAATGGAGAGTGCAAAAAGTTGGTTCAAACATAAACCGCTAAGTGGGCCCATTCCCATTAGTAAAGCCCTATATTTCCTGGGTGAATTGCTGCTAGCCAGACAGATATCAAGTTCAGCACCAACACTGAATTCAGAGCAAAGTAGATATTTTTCCCAATACTAAAACACTGATTCAATTTGAAACAACGACTGCAGATACTGAAAACAGAAAAACAGAAATAATAGCTGGAAATATTCTGGCAGCATCTATGGAGAGAAAACAAGTTAATATTTCAAGTAAAGTAACCCTACTTCAAAACTGTTGATTTCGGTTCTTCTGTACCGGAACAATAAATCTGCAGATTTCCCACTTTATTTTCAGTTTCAATTTCCCTTTAAACCTAAGCACAAGTTTCACAATGTACATTCCTCAAAATCACATGACATTACTTCCAAGACAGAAATCTGTTGATGACGCTGCTACTTTATAGATGCAGAACTGAATAGCTAGTAATCATATTTAGCTGTTAGAACTGGATTCAGGTTAGCCATTACTTTAATCGGCAACACACCCTAAAATGTAAAGATATGCCAAATCATACCTATGGTCTCTCAGAATCTTAAAGAAACAATTCTCAACATCATGTTTTTAGACATTCTTTCAACCTCAGCTCTGTAACCAAAATTTTGATCCTCTGTTCTATATTTAAAGTTTTTGAGGAGATTTATAGCTCGGGTTGTGGATGAGGTTGTAGACTTGCTCGCCGAGCCAGTGTGTTTTATTGCAGATGTTTCCTCACCCTGCTAGGTAACATCGTTAGTGCACCTCCGGTGAAGCGTTGGTGTTCTGTCCCTCTTGTTATTTATATGCCTCGGTTCACTGGGGTGGTTGGCATCACTTCCGGTTCTGTTTCTCAGTGGTTTGTATATCGGGTCCAGTTCAATGTGTTTGTTGATGGAGTTCCAGTTGGATTACCAGGCCTCCAGGAATTCCCTGGCATGTCCCTGTTTGGCTTGTGCTATTATGGATATGTTGTCCCAGTCGAATTCATGTCCTTCCTTGTCCGTGTGTATTGAGACCAGTGAGAATTGGTTGTGTTTCTTGGTGGCTAATTGGTGTTTGTGTATCTTTATTGTCAGTTTTCTTCCAGTTTGGCCTATGTAATGTTTCTCACAGTCCTTGCATGGTACTTTGTATATTACGTTAGTTATGTACATCCTCACTGGAATAAAATTCACAAAAGAAGACGAGAACAATAACCGACTACCCTTCCTAGACATAATAGTAGAATGTAAGAACAACAAGGAACTCCAGGCTAGTGTATATAGAAAGACCACACATATGGACCAGATACTTAATTACACCAGCAACCACCCCAACACCCATAAACGGAGCTGCATCAGGACATTACTCAAACGAGCCACAACACACTGCAGCAACCTGGAATTACGCAAAACAGAATGGGAGCACTTATACAGAGTTTTTAAAAGGAATGGATACCCAAAAAGCACAATCCGCTTTTACCTCCACGACAGACCACAGCAGGAAGACACAACACGGCCAGAGATAGTAGTCACCCTACCGTATGGCAGGGGCAAATCAGAGATGACCACAAGGCTACTCAGACTCCTAGGCATCAGGGTAGCCCACAAACCAACAACCACCCTGCGACAGCTACTGACAAACATAAAGGACCCCATACCCACAACCAATAAAACTAACTAACTAACTAACAATAAAACTATACAAAATACCATGCAAGGACTGTGAGAAACATTCCATAGGACAAACTGGAAGAAAACTGACAATAAGGATACATGAACACCAGCTAGTCACCAAGAGACACAACCAATTCTCACTGGTCTCAATACACACGGACAAGGAAGGACATGAATTCGACTGGGACAACACATCCATGATAGCACAAGCCAAACAGGGACATGCCAGGGAATTCCTGGAGGCCTGGCATTCCAACTGGAACTCCATCAACAAACACACTGAACTGGACCCAATATACAAACCACTGAGAAACAGAACCGGAAGTGATACCAACCACCCCAGCAAACCGAGGCATATAAATAACAAGCGCGACAGAACACCAACGCTTCACCGGAGGCGCTCTGACGATGTTACATAGCAGGGTGACGAAACGTCTGCAACCAAAACACATTGGCTCGGCGAGCAAGTCTACAACCTCTCTTCTATATTTCCCTATGTAGTTCAGAGGTAAGTTTTGTTTTATAAAGACCCCTCCTCTGAGTGATGTTTATCAAGTTTAAAATACCATATAAATACAAGTCAATACGTTTATTTATTATAAAGGCAGTGTTATGAGACAGTTTATATTTCATATTGAAACTGAAGTTGCTGGAAAAGCTTAGCAGGTCTGGCAGCTTCTGTGAAGAGAAATCAGAGTTTACATTTCAGATCCAGTGACCTTTCCTCACCGGACATTAACTCTGATTTCTCTTCACAGAAGCTGCCAAACCTGCTGAGCTTTTCCAGCAATTTCTGTTTTTGTTTCTGATTTACAGCATCCACAGTTCTTTTGGTTTTGTTTTATATTTAACATTGCTTGGAGGACTTTTGAAGGATTGTGGAAAATTCAAGTTTTGGAGAGATTCCTGGAGTGGTTTATTTTAGAGGTCATTGAAAAGTCACAGTGGGCATTGGAGACTTTTGTTAAAACAAGGCTTCCTGTAGATCGCATGAGTGGTTGCATGACTGTTTGCTTTGATGCAGACCCTGCAGGGGGCAGTACTGAACAGTGACTGGCTGGGAGATGTTCTTGTTTGGTGGAGGACTGCCTGCTAATGACAAGTTGCCTAACTGATACTTTCTATTTCTGAAAAGAAAACCTTGTTGAGTTCAAGACTAAATCTTTTTGTTCTTTTGAGAGGGATTTAAAGAACAATGCAAGATTGTATACCCCACGCAGGCAATGTCTCTAAGATATCAGAGTACTGTGTGTGATTAGAGACCTCACCACTCATCAGAACTCAGGAGCAACAGAATTTGAATTATTTTACACTGATTCTCAAGAGTTATGGGTTATTCCTTTAAGAATAATTCATTGACCAATTTTTTTTTCAGAAAGCCAATCGTTCTGGAGAAATCTATGTGTTTCCCTTTCCTTTCCTGGAGAGAGAGAGAGAGAGCGTGGAGCTGGAGGAACACAGCAGGCCAGGCAGCATCAGAGGAGCAGGAAAGTTGATGTTTCGGGTCAGGATCCTTCTTCAGAACATTTTCCCGAAATGTCAGCTTTCCTGCTCCTCTGATGCTGCCTGGCCTGCTGTATTCCTCCAGTTCCACATTGTGTTATCTCTGACTCCAGCATCTGCAGTTCTTGCTATCTCCGAGAGACAGAGTGTGATTGTCTGTGCTTATGTGCGTGCACATGTGTGTTTGTTTTCATTAGAGGGATAAGCATTTACACTTCTATATTACATTATATGTTCACCAATTATTACGGCATTCTTTAATGTTTTGTTTTGAGTAGAGACCTCACCACTCAGGAGCAACAGAATTTGAACTGTTTTACACTGATTCTCAAGAGTTATGAGTTATTTCTTTAAGAATAATTCATTGGCTGATTTTTTTTCAGAAAGCCAATCATTCTGGAGAAATCTATGTACATTAAGAAACTCAGATGATAGATCTTGTTGCTTAAAACCTAATGTAGTTAAGTATTTAATTGGTCATCGTATTAACTGAGAATAATACTTTTATTTTATGTTATGACCGGTGGAGTAGCAGGACTAAAGTGGCAATAAGCTCCTACAGCCTTAGTTACAGCGACATAAATAAAATTACACCTTGTCTTCTCATATAACCAGTTCCAAAATCACACTGAAGCACTGTTGGTGTTTTAGAGCAATCCATGTTCTTGCCACGTGAACATGTTGTAGAATCATTCTCCGCCCAGCAGAGAAAAACAAGAGCGGAGGCAATGGCCCGTTGCTTTATCTCTAGACTATTAATCCAGAAACTCAGCTAATATTCTGGGGACCTAAGTTTGATCCCTCTACTGCAGATGTTGGATTTTCAATTCAATAAAAAAGAATCTGGATTTAAGAATCCACTGATGACCATGAAACCGTTGTCGATTGTTGGGAAAACATGTATGGCTCACTAACATTCTTCAGGGAAGGAAATCTGCAATCCATACCTGCTCTGGCCTGCATGTAACTCCAGACCCACAGCAATGTGGTTGACTCTCAACTGCCCTCTGAAATGGCCTAGAAAACCACTCAGTTCAAGGGCAGCTCGGGATAGGCAATAAATGCTGGCCAGCCAAAGACATCCATGTCGCATGAGTGAATTAAAAAAATTACAATATCATTTTGACTTTTGATTGAGTAAATAAGTAGAATATTTTAGCTAAGGCTAAAAGGGCGAGGGCAAGGAAATGATACTAAATGTTTAGCTCTTTCAAACTGCTGACATAGACACAATGGGCGGAATGGCTTTGTTCTGTGTTATTACTAAAACAGCACAACTGGGACCAGCAATAATAGTGTACTGGGGAGCAGGGGATGGAAATGCTGGGAGAAGGAATAAGACACAAATCTTTATCCCCATTACAGTGTAAAAATGTCTGACATGTTTTGCAAGACATTTGTTTGTTTGAACAATGCAGTATTTCATTCTGCTGGTGAATAAAAATGCTTGGTTTTATTTTCAGCTATGTGTAGAAATCAGGCGAAAACTAAGAACAATAGAAATGATACAGCACAAAAGGAGACTATTCGGTCCGTCTTGTCCATGCTAACCCAAAGACACTCACATGCCCTTTCTGTTCCCATCTTCCTGCACACGGCCCATTGCCCAGCAGCTTTCAGCACTTAAGGTGCAGGTCCAGGGAATTTTTGAAGGGGTTTAGAATCTCTGTCTCCACCACCATCCCAGACTCCCACCACCCTCTGTGTAAAAGAAATATTTTCTCCAAGGCCCCTCTAATCCTTTTGCCACTGAGCTTGAATCTATGACCCTAGATTTTGGATGCTACCCAAAGGAACAGCTTCCTCCTGTTTCCTCTGTCTCTACCCCTCACAATTTTGAACACCTCAATCATGTCGCCCTTCAGCCTTCTCTGTTCCAAGGAAAACAACCCCAACCTCTCCAATCTCTCCTCATGGCTACAGTTCTCCAGCCCTGGGAACATTTTAGTAAATCCTCTCCGCACTCTCAGAACTGCACATAACATGCCAGCTGTGACCTCATCAGCATTTTACACAGTTTCATCATCGTAACTGGACTTTTGTACTCTGTACCTCTGCCGGTGAGTGAGAGCATTCCATTTGCTACCTTATCTACCTGTACTGTTATCTCCAGGGGAGGGCAGATGGTCCACGTTTCACCCTCATTTCTTTTTATCCACGGACCATTACCACAAAGTATTCTTTAAACTGAGAAACACAACGATTTTATTCAATGTTAAACCATACCTGCTGCAAACTCATTTTCAAATACAAGAGCATATGTTCCTGAATGTTGAATAAACAACTTATTCTTCATCAGTTTAAGCACACATTGGAGAGATCCAGAATACAGATTCAGGGGTCGACCATAAGCCGTCTTGTACGCCTTCCTTATCCGTCGCACTGGGATGCCTTCGGGTTTATCCTTAAGCAGATGTAAAATTTCTTCCTGAATCACCAATAAATCATTACCTAGCAGAGAGCACATATTATTAAAACTCTTGGGTTACATGGACAACAGGGCTCAAACTACACAAGTGTCAGGTCACAAAGCCTCCACATAGAAAATACAGCCCTTTGGAGCCTATCAGCAACAAGCGTGGGAGAGAAACAGTCTATGATTGAGGGAGCAGTGAGCAATTAGGAAAGATAAGCAGTGGTAGTGATGAAGTCACCATGGAAGCTGGAGCCACTCTCGGCTGGGAGGTGGATCCATCCACTTTGGTTGAGAGGGAAGGTCGCAGAGGCATTGGGAGGCTGCAGCTGAAGGAATGGACACAGGACAGCTGGAGTGGGGTAATGGTTTAAAGAAAGGCTGCAACAGAGGTGGGAGCGCGAGAGGGAAATAGAGAGACTGTAAGGGGGAAACAGAAAAGTTTTAATAGATGTCAACAAAAGAAGTATTTAGCTAACTGGGTACAGAGAAAATTTGAAATCACTGAGGTAATGAATTACTTGCAAATGAAGGTGGAATTGCTAGTTTAAGGCTGCATACGTTCAGAATCTACGATAACAGGTAGAAAATATAGTGAATTCCATTGTAATGAAAACTGTGCAGCAATTGCTAAATTTATATCTGAGACTGAGATCTTACGTGCAGTAGAGTGAAGGGTTGGTTAGCTTAGTTAGCCGGATGGCTGATGGTGTGATGCCAACAGCGTGGGTTCAATCCCTGTACCAGCTGAGGTTACTATGAAGGTCTCTCCTTCTCAACCTCTCCCCTCACCTGAGGCCTGGTGACCATCAGGTTAAACCACGTCTCTCTCTCTCTCTCTCTCCAATGAGAGAGCAGCCCTACAATCTAGTAAAACTATGGTAATTTTACCTTACCTTATATGCAAGAAAACAGTAGTAACTGCCTTGCAAAAATGTTCCAGTTTTATGTATATTGAATAGAAAAGAATTAACTGTGATTTTACCAGTCTGCAGGTGGTATGTATAAGGTGATGGTGTTTTATGTGCAGTCATTTGCGTTGGTTATTTTTTCAAAAAAGCCACTTTGTTTGTTGCCCAGAGATAACAAGGTGTAGAGCTGGATGAACACAGCAGGCCAAGCAGCATCAGAGGAGCAGGAAAGCTGACGTTTTGGGCCTACACCCTTCTTCAGAAAGCCGCCTGTTGCTTTGTCTCAACTTCAATACTGTGGTGTGTTGGAAATCAATGCTTTCCCTCTGTGTTGTGATTTTGTTTAATGGAAGGTTTGACAATTAAGGATATTGCTCAATTCTTCTAATTCTGCTTCTGTGTGAATTCCTGAGATGTCAACACGAATACAGAAGGCATTGTTAGTAATGTGACTATATCCCCAAATAAATGAGTTAGAGAATGAAAAAGATGCCCTCGAAAGTCAAAAAGTAGCCCTTGCTAATATCCCAAGAACTCAAAAACAGCTTAGACCTCTCACTGGAGAGGAAAATCTATGTTAACTATGTTCTCACACTTGTTTTGCAAAATCATAACAAACACGCAATGTTCCACCCAAAATGTTCATTCGAAAAGCACAAAATATACTCTATTTATAAATAAAAGTACACTATCTAAAGAAGTCGTATACCATATACGTTAGTTCAGCAAAACTATTCACTCATGCCGCCACATAATCTTGATATTTCTGTGTGTGTTCAAACTACATCAGAACAGCACACACAAGTTAAACCACAGTTTAAAAGCTGACACGGGTTCAAATGTATTCCCTTGTGCCTGATGATGCACCTAATCTCTCCCCATGACATCCAAAACAATGAACCATTCCAAGAATGACAGGAAGTCTTCAGCTTCTGACTAAACAATAATGATCTGTTTGCCACTACATGAACAAGTGACCAGGAAGGTTGAAGTCTCTGCTCTGCTAGTCCAAAGATAATTACATGGAAGTAATTCTGGATATATATACAACAAATAGGATGGATGCTGTCTCATCCATTGACTGTTCAAACATGCATCTTTAATCCTCTCCTTATTCTCTGAAGCCACCTGGATGGAAAACCATCGCAATTCTCTGTACAACACTGCCCTCTATCTCTTCAGTTTCTGGACTTTATAGTATTCTATACATTTGTCTTATTTAGGGTGAAGTGCTAGAGAGTGTTGTAGTAGTGAAGACAAAGTTTTATCTTCACAGTGAGAACATCCTTCCTTGTGTAATGAAGAAGATACTACTGGGTTCTGTGAGTTGGATGAAGGATGGGGAATTCCTGAGATACTATGGGCCTTTAGCAATTGTCCTGAATCTGAAATTTCTAGGGGCAGCACCAAGCCTGGAGTACTGTAGAAGGGTATGCAAGGAACAATGTTAAGTGTACCTTAGAGCAGCACTTCCAAATGTGAGGTGGCAAATTGAAAATAGAATTAGAGAGTCACCAAAGGCAGCAATGGTCACACTAAAGTTTTTTCTATGATCTTCCACAGTGTTCTAACAAATGTCAAAGCAAGCTCATGGACTATAGCGTATAGAAAAAAGGAACAAGTATAGGCTATTCAATATGATCGTGGCTGATCATCCTTCTCAGGCCCCATACCCTTGGATCCCGTTACCCCTAAGAATTAGATCTAGCTCCTTCTTGAAAACTCTCAATGTTTTGGCCATGGCCACTTTCTGCAGCAGATGATTCCACAGGCTCACCACAATCCAAGTGAAGAAACTTCTGATGAAGGGTCTAGGCCCGAAACGTCAGCCTTCCTGCTCCTATTATGCTGCTTGGCCTGCTGTGTTCATTCAGCTCTACACCTTGTTGTCTCAGATTCTCCAGCATCTGCAGTTCCTACTATCTCTGAAGAAACTTCTCCTCATTTCAGTCCAAAATGGCCTACCTTGTAATCTTAAACTGTGACCGTTGGTCCTGCACTCCTCAGTCATCACGAACATCTTTCTTGCATCTAATCTATCCAGTCCTGTTAGAAGTTTATAGGATTCTACACGATCCCCCCTCATTCTTCTAAACTCCAATGACTCTACTCTTAACCAGATCCAGTTTCTCTTCACATGTCAGCCCTGCCACCCCAGGAATGTCTGGTAAACCTTCACTGCACTCCCTCCATAGCAAGAACATTCTTCCTAAGATAAGGAGACCAAAACTGCCACAATATTCCAGGCAATGGTTTTGGTTGCACCAAGGCCCTGTTCAACTGCAGCAAGATATCTCTGCTTCTGTACTTGAATCCTCATTACGCAGGCTAATGTACCATTTGCAACATATCTCATCTTTCAGTCAGCACTCCACAATATTCTGGGCTCAATACTGAGTTCAGCAATTTTAGTTCGGGATCTCTGCCTCAATCTTGATGTTTTTTTCCCTGATTTGGTTTCTCCATTTTTTTTTCTTTATTTCCTCACTTTGCATTTTTTGTTTGTTTCTTTACCCATTACCACAAGTTTTTTTTCCCTTAGCAGCCATTTTAGTGACCTATAGACAGGACTTTCACCCCTTTAAGGGCTAAGGGTCCAACACAACCTACCCACCACTATCTCCCACCTAATGAGCAATGGTGGCCAATAACTGGCCTAGGAGTAGGCGAGACCAGCAACTGTAGAGGAAGGCTCAAAATCCAGTTGGGTACTGTCACTCTCCGGGTCAACTGAGGCGAGGAGTGGAGGGAGAGTTTGTACGGAGGGATGGGGTATGGAGAATACAAAATGATGGCTTTGCCACCAGAGCCCTCTATGGGATTCATTGATAACAAGTTTGTCAGGAATGACTTTTTGCTTCCATACAATCTTTGGCCCTGCAACCCTCTATGGGCCATAAGGCACCTGATCAGGAGGATCCCAACTTACCTATCCGACCAAGCTTGTATGAAGGCCACCACGATGTACTTGGCTAATCTGGCAAAGTGTTAAACAGCGGTAGTGGTGTGGGAAGGGGCCCTTAGCTGGCCAGTGAAATGCCTCAGTTGGCCTAAGATCAGGAAGGCTCTCCTGCTTTAAGTGCCAGGGATGGTAAGAGGTAACAGAAACATCATTACCCAAAATTTCATCTGATTTCTTGTCCCACTCATTTCCTGGCACTCTCCCAGGGGCTCCATAAAATCCCAGCCATTCACTCACCTCAGGTTCAGTGCCACAGACTGTCTTTTTCTTGACCTCCAGTAAGAGATGTCAGGGACCTCTCATTAGGTAACACATTTGTCGCGTTTTCAGACAAACTGAAGGGTACAATTAAAACCAGATAATTTAAAAGAATTATTGGTCCTTTAAATGGGATGAGCTTAATACATCGCTATCTATTTTCTTAAAGCTGTAAATCCTTATTGCCTTTCTTTTCTCATAAATATCTAGTTTGAGCAGAGAATTGTCAAACTATCATAACTCGAAAGCAAAGCTCAAGGTAGGGGATCACAGGTGAAAAATCTAAGCTTCCAGTGTCTGAACAATTGCAAAAGCGATCTAAAAGGATTCAATAAGACCATAAGGCACAGGAGCAGAAGAAGACCATTCAGCCCACTGAGATTGCTCTGACATATCTGGACCATCTCTGATACCTCTCTCACCTTCCTGGACCTCTGTCTCCATCTCGGGCAACCACCTAGAAACCGATATCCATTTCAAGCCCACCGACTCCCACACCTACCTAGAATACACCTCCTCCCACCCACCTTCCTGCAAAAATGCCACCCCTATTCCCAATTCCTTTGCCTCCGCCGCATCTGGTCCCAGGATGAGGCATTCCACTCCCATACATCTCAGATGTCCTCGTTTTTCAAGGACCGCAACTTCCCCCCCCTCAGTGGTTGAGAACACCCTCGACCGCGTCTCCCGCATTTCCCGTAACTCATCCCTCACACCCCGTCCACGCAATAACAACCAAAACAGAATCCCCCTCATCCTCACGTACCACCCCACCAACCTCCGGATCCAACGCATCATCCTCCGACACTTCCGCCATCTGCAATCCGACCCCACCACCAAAGACATTTTTCCCTCCCGACCCTTATCTGCTTTCTGGAGGGAGCACTCTCTCCATGACTCCCTTGTCCGCTCCACACTCCCCTCCAGCCCCACCACACCCGGCACTTTTCCCTGCAACCGCAGGAAGTGCTACACCTGCCCCTACACCTCCTCCCTCACCCCCATCCCAGGCCCCAAGAAGACTTTCCACATCAAGCAGATGTTCACCTGCACATCTGCTAATGTGTTATACTGCATTCGCTGTACCCATTGTGGCCTCCTCTACATCGGGGAAACCACGCGGAGGCTTGGCGACCGCTTTGCAGAACACCTACGCTCGGTTCGCACTAAACAACTGCACCTCCCAGTCGCGAACCATTTCAACTCCCCCTCCCATTCCACAGACGATATGTCCATCCTGGGCCTCCTGCAGTGCCACAGCGATGCCACCCGAAGGTTGCAGGAACAGCAACTCATATTCCGCTTGGGAACCCTGCAGCCCAATGGTATCAATGTGGATTTCACAAGCTTCAAAATCTCCCCTCCCCCTACCACATCCCAAAACCAGCCCAGCTCGTCCCCGCCTCCCTAACCTGTTCTTCCTCCCACCTATCCCCTCCTCCCACCTCAAGCCCCACCCCCATCTCCTACCTACTAACCTCATCCTGCCCCCTTGACCTGTCCGTCCTCCCTGGACTGACCTATCCCCTCCCTACCTCCCCACCTACACTCACCTTTACTGGCTCCATCCCCGCCTCTTTGACCTGTCTGTTTCCTCTCCACCTATCTTCTCTATCCATCTTCTATCCGTCTCCCCCTCTCTCCCTATTTATTTCAGAATCTCCTTCCCCTCCCCCATTTCTGAAGAAGGGTCTAGGCCTGAAACGTCAGCCTTCCTGCTCCTATGATGCTGCTTGGCCTGCTGTGTTCATCCAGCTCTACACCTTGTTATCTTTGCTCTGACATATGGCTGATCTGATAATCCCCAACTCCACTTTCCTGCCTTTCCTCCATAACACTCGATTCCCATACCCATTAAAAATCTATCTCAGTTCTGAATGTACTTAATGACCAGGCCTCAGCAGCCTTCTGTAGTAAACAAATTCCACAGACTCATGACCCTCAGAGAAGAAACTCATCCTCATTTCCGTCCTAACTGGGTGACCAGTTACTGAGATTATGCCCCGTGGTCCTTGACTCTCCCACAAGGATAAACAACCTTTTAGCATTTGGCCTGTTCAGTCCCCCATGATGATTCAGGGAGCCACATTTGGAGTGCTGTGTGCAGAACTGGTTGCCCTGCTGCGGGCGGGGAATAGGGATGTTGCTGAGACTAGAGGATCTGAATTAGTTGGGGGAGGGGAGGTTGTGGGGCACAGGATAGGCTGGGACTTTTTCCCCTGGAGCACGGGGAGGTGACCTTACGGGGGTTTGTGGAATCATGAGGGGCATGGATAGGGTGAATAGCCAAGGTCTTTTCCCCAGGGTAGGGGAGTCCAAAACTAGAGGGAATAAGTTTAAGATGAGAGGGAAAGGATTTAAAAGGGACCTGAGGGCAACTTTTTCACACAGAGGGTGGTGCGTCTATGAAATGAGCTGCCAGAGGAAGTGGTAGAGCCTGGTACAATTACAACATTTATAAGACATTTGGACAGGTACATGGATTGGAAAGGTTTAGAGGGATATAGTCAAACACAGGCAAATGGGACTCAGAGATAGTAGGAACTGCAGATGCTGGAGAATCCAAGACAACAAGGTGCAGAGCTGGATGAACACAGCAGGCTAGGAAACCTGTTCAGCATTGACCAGTTGGGATGCAGGGCCTGTTTCTGTGCTGTATGACTCTATGATCTCTCATTCTTTTAAACTCCACTGAGTACAGGCCCAACCTACTCAACCTCCCTGGAATGCCTCCATTGCCAGTAAACCTTTCCATAAATAAAGGGAACAAAACTGTTCATTGCATTTCAGCTGTGGTCTATCTAGTACCTTGTATAGCTTTAGCAAGACTTTTCTATGTTTGTACTCCATTCCATTTGAAATAAAGGCCAATATTCCATCTGCCTTCCCTATTACCTGCTGAACCTGCAGGCCAGCATTTTGTGATTTATTCATGAGGATTCCCGAATCTCACTGGGTTCTAGCTTTCTGTGGCACTATTTAAAAAAGAACAGGAAGTTATCCTGGTTTCCAGGCCTAACTTGCCTTCAGAAAGCACACCACCAATAATAGATCGTGGGAGCAAATTACTGCAGATGCTGGAATCTGAACTGAAAACAAAAAGTGCTGGAGATCAGAGCAGGTCAGACAGTATCCATGGAGAGAGAGCAAGCCAACATTTCGAGTCTAAATTAATCTTCATCAGACTGAAGTGGTGTGAAATGTGAAATATCACAGCTGAAATGTGCAGGTTAGGGTGGATTGGCCATGCTAAATTACCCCATAGTGTTCAGGGATGTGTCAGTTAGGTGGGTTATAGGGGGAGGGGTCTGAGTGGATGCTCTGAGAGTCGGTGTGGACTTGTTGGGCCTGTTTCCACACTGTAGGGATTCTATGGTGTAGAGAGGGCAGCTTTTATGCTATAGTGGGGTGAGGGGTGTCCCCCAGCACTTTAATGCACCCCCCCAATATAGCATAAATGCTGCCCCCTCCACACTTCACTTCAGCTCTGATGAAGAGTCATTTAGACTCTAAACATTAGCTTGCCCTCTCTCCATGGATACTGTCTGACCCACTGTGATCAGCAATAATGGATCAACTGGTTATTCAACTCATTGCTAGTTGTGGCATATTGCTCCCCACAATTCACCTGCGCTTTAATGTATTACAACAAACATACTTCAAAAGGAATTCAACTTGTTATGAAGCACATTATGATAGTTTGAGGATGCAAGAATGTACTATACAAATCTGAGTCAATTCGAATCATGAAATGTTCTATAGATCAAAGTATGTAAAATTTGATTTTATTACCTTTTGGGATTTCTTTTTGCAGTGGTGGCTGTGCCTCTGGGTTGCAATCACTGGCAGTTTTTCCCTGAAGAAAAGTCTGAGTTTCAGAAGAACCAAAAGATGTATCAGGAATCTGAAGACTTCTCGCTTGCATTTTTCTCAAGTTACGTTGAGATTTGGCTTTGATGGTAAACCCTTTCTTCGTGGGTATTAGACACAGAAAGTCATCCATTGACTCCACCATGGCTTGTACTGTTGGAAATTTGTAGTCTTCAGCATTTAAATCCTTCTTGAATTGCTTTTTATAAAGTTTCTCTAACTTGTGTAGAGCAATGCCTTCATGGTAATGACAGAACAGACACACCAATTCATCCTTCAATATGGCTTCCATATTCACTGTGTAAAAGAAAGATCTCTCTTCAGGAAGAAGTGAGGTAACACCCAATTTTAACACAGCTTTCAAAAGTTTTTAAATTGCTGAGAATGGAAGAACGTCATCTCACATTTACAAAAAAAAAACAAACACAGCCCATTTCCACAGACTGGCAGAGTTTGCTTCAAATCTGCTTATTCTTTCCTTGACCAGAAGCTTATGCCACCTCACAATCCATATACCACGTTCTTTCCATTGACCACACACGTCACATGTAAAAACAACCTAAACCAACAGCATCTATGCTTAATAAAAAAAAAGAACTGTAGCTGCTGGAAATCATAAACAAAAGTAGAAATTGCTGGAAAAGCTCAGCAGGTCTGGGCAGCATCTGTGGCGAGGAATCAGAGTTAATGTTTCAAGGTTCAGTCATCCTTCCTCAGAACTGATGGTGGCGAGAAAAACGTTGGTTTATATGGAGAAGATAGGGTGGGGGTAAGGAGTAAATGATAGGTGCGGGTAGAGCCCAAAGAGAGGGAAGAACATTTGGACAGACAAAGGAGTGGATGACGATCTGGCTGAGAGGGTGAATAGCTGTTAATGAGGACTGTTAGTGGCTAACAATGGGATGTGTGTAATAGCAGACCATGTGATAACAAGGCCTCACGTGTGAAGGTTGGGGTAAAGACATGGAAGAACTCAAGCCCGGAAACTGTTGAAGTCAACATCAAGGTGCTGTCTTTCCAGCTCGTGCTGAGCTTCACTGGAACACTGCAGCAAGCCAGAGACAGAGATGTTGGCCAGGGAACAGGGTGGTGCGTTGAAAGGGCAGGCAACTGGAAGCTCAGGGTCTTTTTTGTGGACAGAACGAAGGTTCAAGAAGCCAGTGCATCACGACTTTTAAGGCCACCTAAGGATGGGGAACAAATGGCAGCTTAGCCAGTGAGGTCCACATGCCAAGACGCAATAGAAGAAAAGAGGGCAGGCAAGATATTGAAGATATTTCATCTTCATGTCTGGATCATCTCAGTTTGTATCAAGGCACTGTTTCACTTTTCCTTTCCTGTGAGGAAAGCAGCTGTCCTACTCCAATCTTCCTAAATGGCACAACAAAAACATCTCAAACTGAATACTACGCAACACATTTTTAGCCTGAGATAACCACTGTTTCTGAATAAAAATAGAATAATCTCTTACCCTGATGCTGATTTGGAATCCGCATTTGGTTACAAGATAGATTAACCAGGGGCAACTTTTCTAACATGCTGCTAGACAGACAGCTGCACTCAGCTGTTCCTTTCCCACTTGCTGGATTAACAATGACCCTTTGTCCATCACAATCCAATTTAACTACATCCTTCATGTGCTCCAGAAGACTTGATATGGAGTGAAACCCATAATTTGACAACTCCAGTGGTGTTTTGTACATCTGCAGGTAGAGGCTGGATAACTGAGATAAAGGGAAGCCTTCAGGGTGAGCACAGCATAGCCCAATGATTTGTTGTTGCAGCAAATCCATTTTGTCAACTACAAGAAAATCAAATTTTAAGCTTTTAGTACACAGTTAATTGGGCAATCAAGTGTGGGAATCACCTTCCCAAATCAACAGGATTAACATGGTTACCATTTGGTCTCTAGTTCTCATACAAACCTACACATAGAAGCCTGAAGTCATTAGACTTGGTCAGTAACATTTTAACACAAAAGGAAAATATGCATCAGTTACCATCTGTTGGGAAATGTTTTCAATCTTATCTAATCTCTGAAACATTGCAGACACCAATTTTATGTCCGTTGTCCCGAACTGCAACAGAAACAAGATCTGAAAAAGCTCAACTTTTTTAAGAAAAATTGCGGTGTAAAAGCTCAGAAACAAGGCATGTCACAATTAATGGGCTTCTTTAAATTGTAACAAAATTTCCATTAATTCTGCTTAATGATAAATACTCCAATAAATTTAATACAACAGAACACAACCAGCCCAAACTTTCACCTACATAAATGATGGCTGGGCTTAACTTTATTTATTAGTTTCCAAGCAATTTCCAGGAGATTTACCAGGATGTTGCCTGGGCTGGACAGTTTCAGTTATGAAGGGAAATTGGACAGGCTTGGGATGTTATCCTCAGAGCAGAGAAGACTGAGGAGGGACATGATTGAGATGTATAAAAATATAAAGGGCATTGATAGGATAGACAGGAAGAAACTTTTCCCCTTTATGGAGGGGTCAATGACCAGGGATCAGAATTTTGTGGTAAGGTTTAGAGGATAGGTGAGAATTTTTTTTTCACCCAGTGGGTGGTGGGATTCTGGAACTCAACACCTGTAGGTGCTAGATGTAGAAATCCTCATAACATTTAAAAAGTATTTAGACATGCACTTGTGTTGGCAAGGCATACAGGCTATGGGCCAAGCTTATAGCATTAATATTATGGAATAGTTAGGTGGGTTTTGACCAGCATGGACATGATAGGCCAAAGGGCCTTTTTCTGAGCTGTAGACTTCTATGAGCCTACGTCATTGTCACTTGGATGAAAAGCAGGAACCTGAAATCTTCAGCTGAAACGTCAACATTCCTGCTCCTCCAATGCTGCCTGGCCTGCTGTGTTCCTCCAGCTCCACACTGTGTCATCTCTGACTCGAGCATCTGCACTTCTTGCTATCTCTGAGTGATTTAGAACCTCCCAACACTGTTGTGTCATCAACAAAAACAATGGAGTAGCATATATAGCTTCAAAATAAGAATTTGCGAGTGCTAGAATACAACAATCTATATTTATAAAACATATTCAACATGACAATATGTGCCAGGTGTCTCAAAGGAATGTAATCAGATCAGTACTGACACTGAGCGATAGTGGGATATTAGAATGATTCAATCAGAGATAGTAGGAACTGTCGATGCTGGAGTCTGAGATAACACAGTGTGGAGCTGGATGAACACAGCAGCCCAGGCAGCATCAGAGGAGCAGGAAAGCTGACGTTTCGGGTTAGGACCCTTCTTCAGAAATGTTGGAGAGGTAGAGGGCTCTGAAATAAATAGAGAGAGGAGGGGTGGGGCTGGGGAAGGGAGGTGGGATGGTGATAGGTGAGTGCAGGTAGGCAATGGTGGGGGTTGGTCAGTGAGGTGGGAGGAGCGGATAGGTGGGAGAGAAGACGGACAGGTTAAGGAGGCGGGGACGAGGGGGGTGCTGGTCTTGGGATGAGGTCAGGGCTGGGGAGATTTTGAAGCTAGTAAAGTCCACATTGAGACCATTGGGTTGTAGGCTCCCAAGGCAGAATATGAGGTGCTGTTCCTCCAGTTTCCGGGTGGCATCATTGTGACACTGGAGGAGGCCCAGGATGGACATGTCGTCCAGGGAGTGGGAGGGGGAGTTGAAATGGTTTGCAACTGGAAAGTGTAGTCGTTTGTCATGAACAGAGAGCAGGTGCTCTACAAAGCAGTCTCCAAGCCTCCGCTTGGTTTCACCAATGTAGAGGAGGCCACATCGGGAGCAGCGGATGCAATAGACCACATTAGCAGATGTGCAGGTGAACATCTGTCTGATGTGGAAGGTTTTTTTGGTTCCTGGGATGGTGGTGAGGGGGGAGGTGTAGGGGCAGGTGTAGCACTTCCTGCGGTTGCAGGGAAAGGCGCCGGGGGGGGGGGGGCTCGTGGGGGGTGTGGAGCGGACGAGGGAAATCTGAAATTAAAAAAACACAGAAAACGTTCAAGATACTGAGGTCAGACAGCATCTGTGGAGAGAGAAGCAAAGTCAGACCTCTCTGCTTCAAAGCTTCCACATTGTTCCGACAAAGGTCAATGCAAGATCAAGGAACAGAACCTCATCTTTAATTAGGTATTTTACAATCTCCTGGATCAGACTTAATGTTTAATTCAACAATTTCAGCTCACTAGTGTTGCAGTAATTCTTCAATGGCAGCTGAGGTAATGCTATTCCCACTTACACTTTCCCAAGACCCATCTTTTGTTTCTTTGCCTGCCCCTTTGCTACTTCCTTCACTGCCACCTCTTACCATTTAATGTCTCCTGTCTTCTCCCACATTGAAGACTTGCTTTTTGCTTATTCCTTGAATTGTTGCTTTCCCTGTATCTTTACTTGCTTAAAACCTGTTATATGTCAATTCTTTCCAATTCAGCTAAAGGCTCATCGACCTGAAATGTTAACTTTGTTAATGAACAATTTGAAAAAAGCTGTGCACAAATGCAAAGGTTTAGGGAGGAAATTCCATTGTTCACATGCTGATCAGCTAAAGGCACATATAACAGAAATCAGGATTTTAAAAGTAGCCAAAATTGAGGTAGTTTTGGGGTAATACAATGGCAATACAATGGTAAATGAAGCTAGCCTAAATAAATACATGCTGCTGTGCACAGACGCAATGCCTTTCTGAAAAACCTTGCAAGTGATTTTCTCAAACAGCTCCATCAGGGTAAGCAAGAGGATTGAAGATAACCAGGCAGCTGTACTAACCTTTCAGAAACCACAAGGCGCATCGTTTTGTAATGAATGAACAGAATAATTAAATTAAGAAAATATGAGTTTAATGCAACAACATGATTAACACAAGGCAAAAAATGAGAAAATACTGAAGGGAAAACAGTATGTTCAGCCTAGTAGCATGAAGGCAACGATGAGAAATACTGATAAGAACGGAGTCCCGGCTACAGTCTTGGTTTTGTCCTTGAAAGTCAGGAACATAGTGGATCCAAAAGTTATTAAATCCAAACAAAATGTAGAACATAGACTGCAATCAAGCTAAGGATGTTCCCAAAATAAAAGCAAAGTACTGCAGATTCTGGGCATCTGAAACCAAATCAGATAACAGTGATGAAACTCAGTAGGTCTCTAAGGAAACTCGGTAGTTCAGGTAGTATCTATGAAGACAGAATGTGTTGAATTCAATATCACTATTCTTCAGAAATAAATGGAGCTGGAAAATTGATGTGTTTTATGCTGCAGTAAAAGGGGAGGAGTGTAATAACTCCACAGAGACCGGTATCCCTTCAGCAAGTCACCCTTTATTTATGCGTGCATAGTGTATCTGTCAGCCAGGGCTCCCTGATTGGGACTGTTAATCGGGACTGATTAGGGAACTCATATTCTATAAGGTCTACCTGGCTGACCAAGTCACAATCATACATCCCTTCCCCTCTACATCTGGGAACGTAGGCCGGTTCTTTCCCTTGTAGCCTCTCCTGGGGTGTTTTAGCACTGGTCTTGTTCCTCCGACTCAGTCTTGGATATGGGCAGCGAGTATCAGACCGAGCCCACCTCTTGTGACCAGAGCATCTCGAAGGAAATTCATCCTGTTCTTAGACTGGAAAGGCATTGAGGCTGCAAAAGCTGCCGTCTCCATCTCAGAGTCTGAAGTTTGCTTGATGTTGGACAGAGGGGGAGGAGCCATGGGTTCTGACTTCCTTTCTACCTGTTCCGAGGGGTCAGGTGTGCTTTGTTCCTGCCCCGTTCATGAGTTTGCAGCTTTCATGTGGTCCAAGTGCTTGTTCAGGAACGTCATACCTACCCAAATTTTGTATGACACGGGATCTGACCTCATGCCAACCATGCCTCTTACCAGTGCAGGGCCATTTCTGTGGATTCTACACCAAACTTCATCCCCTGAAAGAAACTGTCTCCCTTGCTAGTCTTCTGTCCAGCACTGACGTTCCTGATGCCAGTTCACCCTCACTGCCCACATCCACAAGATCAGATTTAA